TCAAGCGCTGCACTCACATTACGACTATGTCACAGCCGGCCATCGAGGCCAGAAAAGGACGTTTACGGCTCTCAGCAAGCACTACTACTGGCCAGGAATGCGCGCCTACACTACTGCTTATGTTGAGTCATGGACTCACTGTCGAGCGCCAAAGTCCCTTAACCAGAAGTCTGCAGGCCTTCAACAGTTGCTCATCCCTTCTCATCGGTGGGCGCATGTGAGTCTTTAATATATCACAGATATTCCCCTTACAACGACAGGGCACGACTCGATTCTTGTCATGGTCGACTCCCTCAGCAAGATGGCTCATTCCGTTCCTGCAAAGAAGTCATTCACAGCAGCAGACACCGTGGAGCTTCTAGCAGACCGTCTTATCCGCTATCACAGTTTTCCAGAGGTGCTCATATCGGACCGCGACCCCCCTTTCCAGTCGGATCTCTGGAACCAACTCTGTCGCCGCTTTAACATCAAACGGTACATGTCCTCGTCCTACCATCCCCAAAGCGACGGCCAAACTGAACGGGTTAACCGCACACTGAAGCAGTTGCTTCGTACCTATATCATATCTGACGAACGCGAGTGGGAGCGTTTACTTCCTACCTTGGAACTTGCTTACAACACAACAAGTCATTCATCCACTGAGCTCTCTCCCTTCGAGGTCATGACTGGCGAGAACCCGTTGACTGCTGCGAACCTTGATATCGTAGGCGCGTTAGCTCCTACGCTCACTCCTGCGATGACTAAGCTTTTTCGGCAGCTCTGCGACGGAGCACAGAGTCACATCCTGAAGGCAAAATGGCAGCAGAAGTACTACGCAGACAAAAAGCGCCGAACAGTGGAGTATGCACTGGGAGACAGGGTCTGGCTCAGCAGCAAACACCTACCGCCTTTCAACAGCTGCCCTAAGTCCGAGCTCCGTTAGCGCAGACCCTCTGAAGTCATCAAACGCATAGGAACTGTCGCTTACTGTCTCGCTCGGCCTCCCACCTATGAATGCCACAACGTTTTCCACGTTTCGCAGCTAGTTCCCCACCGCCCCCGCCCTCCCGCTTTGGCTCTCCCGGAAGCCGACGCCGCCTGGCCTCCTATCCGCGATGCAGGAGGCAATCCCATAGAGGAATACGAAGCCGACTATATTATGGACCGACTCGGCTCGGGAGATGCAGCCCAGTACCTCGTGAAGCGGCGCGGGACCCCTGAAGATCAAGCCACATGGGAGCCCGCTCACCACCCTACAGGCGGCCCTGCTTTGCTTCGCGCTTGGCGCCGCCGCCAACGAAGACGTCTTCAGGCTCGAAACAACATTGGTCCTTCCGAGGCGTAGAGGTTTGGGTCCGCCATATTCCGCCGCCTGCAGGACGGGCACCCTTCAATGAGGAGGGGGGAGGGAGCGCTGCGCACCGCGTGCTCTCACAGCGTTAGCTTTAGAAGAACGTAGAGATTGAAAAGGCAAAAATAATATGTTTTGGGTAGATCTCTTCAGTCCGGCAAGGAGGGAAGTTGTGGTGCACAGGCACTGCAATAGGGCTTGCTGGTGACCTATAGAAGATAGCTAGCTAGCGACCTACAAGGGGTCGCATTGGAGGAGGACGGGACCCTCTTCCTAGCATCAAAGTAAGGCAATTTGTCTGCGAATTGACATGCATACACTGGAGGTGCCTGAAAATGCGTGGAGACTGGGGCTGGCGATAGCGCCGGCACCAGTCCAGGCCTCCTCCCCACAGGGCCTAGGAGGCGAGCACCCCGAGTGAGGCGGCTTGGACGATAACAGATTTTGGAAACTTAAGAATAACCGTATTTCGTTATATATAGGCTACTGTTTCAAGGAAATGGGCCAACGTTAGGTGCCGATCATAGGCCCCGCTCGAGGGAGCAGGTAGCAGCGTAGTCGCAGCAGTAGGCGCTGTGCACTAGAGGAGTAGTGCGCAGGCACTACAATGGGGCTTGCTGGTGACCTATAGAGGATAGTTAACTGATGAACTATAGGCGGCTAAGAGGTTGAGACGCGGATTGAGCGCCGTAACCTCTTACCAGTGAAATCGAAATGTAATGTATTAACAAATTAATGTATAAACTAGAAATGCCTGCGAATGCTCTAAGATTGGGGCTGCCGGCAACGTCGGTATCGGTGCGCATCACAACCTCACCAGACCAGAAAAGCAAGAACGATAAGAAACGTCAGATATGAGAAATATGGGTTTGAGAACTTGAAACAATACGAACTTTTCAGTAAATTAGGTGATGTTACGCTACAGATGTGTCAGTAGTAGAGAAGATTTCATTGGTCAGCAGAGTTCAGGGTTGTGCAGCAACGTAGTCGCTAAAGAAAGTGCAGAATACAGGTGGAGAGGTGCCGGCACTATTGCCAGCCCCAATCTCCAGGTTTTTCAAGGCACCTGTAGTGTATGCATGTCAATTCGCAGACAAATTGCACTACTTTGATCCTAGTAAGAGGGTCCCGTCCTCCTCCAGTGTTGCGACCCCTTGTAGGTTGCTAGCTAGCTATCTTCTATAGGTCACCAGCAAGCCCTATTGTAGTGCCTGTGCACTACGTTAGGGGGTTAGAGCTAACGCTATGTGTAGTCTCCTCTTCATGGAAAAAGCGGTTAGCGACATGACTGGAGACTAACTGTGTGGATTTAAGAAATGTTCTCGCGTTCTGTTGGGATGCTTTTCGCAGAGAAGCATTTAGTTGTACACGTAGTGGCAGCTGTGGGTTCGATCACTCACCCAGGCTCTCCAGTTAGTGCAAGCGTTATTTAGCGAAGCTCTGGAAAGATAAGCAGGCAAAATTCGTAAAACACCAACCAAAAAAAGAACTGATCACGGGAAAAGATTAAAGCGGAGCCATTCTTTGAATTGCGCTTTATCTTGTTGCGGTGCACAATTCTCCAAGAGCAAGTACAAAACTCTAGACTATCAGGCTCTTCAAGGATGCCCAAAGCAGCTCTGTTCCGCACATGATGATGCTTGAGGAGAAGTTTTGAGGGAGAATACTACTGCTGTGGAGACGGCCGCGAAAAGGTTTTAGTACAGCATTCAATTCAAGAGCTCCAATTTGTAAAGAAAACAAAACTACTCCTCAAGCAGAAAACCCTCAACACAGTAGCAAAAAGGCTGTGAAGCCGCTCTTTCGAGGCCAGCACTACCTTTCTCTGAATCGCATCATAAATATTTAGGGGCGCTTAATGTAATATCGCGGCAACACGGTCCTGCCAACACGCGACACGCAAGGTCACCGTTCTGGGGCCCTGTTGCGAGTGCAGGCTAATTAACTACTCCAGTCAGCCGGACTAATGAAACATGGAGTAGAAGCGCCTGAAGTAGGCTGTAGTAGCTAAGATGCTCGAAGTTTCGTCTAGACCACATGAAAGTAAAGACTCTCCGGATTTTTTGTCTGTTTTGTGGGTTACTATTCGCCAGGCGCCCTCTATGAAAAGATGTTATGAGGGACAACGCTTTATCCAAGCAGAGCGCTTAAAGCTTGCTTTTGTCAGGTGTCTTAAGCATAATAGCGAGCCCTGTGTAAAAATGTGCTCATCATGCGAAGGGCTGGCTGACCTGGTGAGCATCTGCAGTAGACACTCTCAGCGTAATGGAATACGCAACTCTCCTTCTCACGCTACATCGTACGAGTAGCATGAGATTCATTTAATCGCTCCACTACATTTTCACCGTAGGACACCGTCAATGCTGGAACTAGCTTGTTCTTTTTCCAAGTAAAAGCTGCTCTGCCTTCTCTCATTTCATATTCTGTTTTACGGTTGTGTATACTCTAGAAGCCTAAGCAGCCATCATGTCACATAAATATATGTATAATACACAGCACCACATGCACAACAAAAGAATGAAACACTGAACGACGATACGGATGTATTCCAGAAAGAAAATGAGCGAGGCCGTAACATAGAGTGATGTTTCAACAGATATCGAGAAGAGCCCATTTCTGTGTAGGCGCTCAGCTCCTCTCTGTAGCTTCTTGCCTTAGAAGCTACAGAGAGGAGCTGAGCGCCTAACGCTGGCTTCCTAGTACAGTCGATCAATGAACGAGCATCTCGCAGTCAGAAACCATAAGGTTACAAGTTCGTGTACGACATCCGCACTGCAGGAAGAAACATTCATCCAAGTGCCACGCTAGGTCGAACCCCACAGTGAGTTTCAGAGAAAACCTGTCCCACTTATCTCATTAATTTTGAGTCCATCACATTCAGGTACTTCGCCTTCACAGGAAAATTATTGGTAACACTCAGGAGCACGTCAGAGCTTGTAGCTCTAGTTGAAGCTCTTCCGAGCTCCACAGATCACAACATATTGTATTAACAAACGTTTTCCCGGATGTGGCGGCATTACACGACCAGACGTAGGCACCGTCAGGTGAACTATATCCAATGCAGTCTTACACTTCGTTGCCGAAAGTGAAGTGTTAGGCACGCAGCTGCCATAGCTGACATAATCCAGGTACTGCACAGACTGTTGCACACAAGCGCCTACTACACATTCGCTGTTCTTGGCATACTAAAAAAATATCCCTTTTCGAATTAGTTAATATTATTTATAGTTCAAACTAAAATAACTGGACAAGCACGGATATTTTGTCGAGAAAAATAGTAATTAGACAGACTCTGTTTTCAACACTGGCCCTGCATCGAGAGAGGCAGCTCCAAAAAGCATCAGCAGAAATCGTATCAATCTCTTCATGTGGAAGCAAAGCGTTTCCAGTTTCAGCTTCGTAAGTTTTTTATATGTACAATGAATCCATCACGAATTCGTTTTCATATGCCATTGTTCCACGGTTAGGGAGCTGGTACCTGCCTCCAAGTCACGCTGCTTCATTCTGCCCGCATTACAGGTGTCCTTTCCTAGTGAGCTCATTGAGTTAAGGCGCATACCTGCAATTTTGCGCCTTTCTATGAGTTAGGTCGGAATATTAATGCACGCTTCCGACTTCTTGCCTCCCATTTGCCACATTTACAGGAAAACGCAGCTTGTGATTGTTTACAATGTCAGAAACGCCGCAGCAGGGGAACAAAATTGACACACAGGACTTTAAAGCTCCCTCAGTGATTGGAGGTGGATCTCTGCTCTTGGAAGTTAGGGGGGAATTCACTGTGCCAAATGTGAACTCGAAGGAGGAGTTAAGGGAGCTGCTCTCGCTTAGAAAGTGCTCGCTGGATCTTCGAAATACTGAGATTCGCATGAGCGACGAAGTTCGCAAAGAGGTTTGCGAGGCATTAGGAGTGAAGGAGAACGTAGGAGAGGATACCCTTAGGTCCTGCATACTTCTGAATGGCTGCATCACGAAGGCCCCTGCTGGAACCAACGAGCTTGTCCGCTGCTTTCTACGCAGAGGCACAAGGGAACAGCATTTTAGTTTGGTCAGGGAGCTGGCTAGACGACGCAGAGCCGAATTGGAGAAGGGTGTAAGGAGAGTTGCAGATGGGCCTCGAACTAAGACGACGAAAAACTTGGCTGATCATCACTCTGATTATCATTCTGCCGACGCTGCCTCCTTGCACGCTGCCGATAACAGGAATATCGAAAATGGCGGAGATACAAGAACTGCCTCCAGGGGTATGTTAGCGGCATCGGACACTGCTGCCCATGTGGAAGAAGCGGCAGGAGACGGGGCGAAGCCTGGCCGAACCAACAAAGCAGCAGGTGGCCGAAGTGCTCAGAAAGGGGGTAGCCTTTTACCGCAACCACATGAAGAACTCTACACGTTCCGATCGGCAACAACGGCATCCGAGTTGGGAACTTCAAGGAGGACGGAAGTAGATGCGTTGAGATGATCAAACTGGCAGCCGCTGTAGACTTGTTTCTGCATTTCCACCCTCCACCTGTGTCAGTGAAGGCGAACAATGAGCAGTTTCATGCACTTATGATAATAGATGTATGTGCAGCTGGAAGTTACAGGATTGCCGGTCGTTGGAGGATTTATGCGATGCGCTTTTGGTATGTTGAGGCCTGCGCGTCGGTGGCACAATCCACACGTTATTCACATGAACTGTATCTACGGAGCTATGTCAACTTTCGTATTATTTACGTCTTTCGACTTCCTATTGTGGAAATAAGTGTTAACGTTGAATGAGTGTTGGAGAATTCGAAAAAATTAGTGATGTACACTGGTGAAGCACTCAGGCTCATCCCAGTTGATACCGCAGGCTTTGCAACAGAGTTTGCTCATTACAAGGTGGTTTGTGTGCGTGTCGAGAAATTCGCAGCTCCTCGTTTCGGTGGGCGCGAGAATGCATTTAAATGTGCCTTAAATTTTCGCGCGCATAGACCGACGAGCAACGAGATAGGATTCAATACAGACAAACGGAGGAGATATGAACTACTAACTGATAGGCGACTCCTGGCGCTTAAGTATTTTTTGGCAAAGTCTGCTTTACAACGCAGTTGCCCATGTTGGGATAGAATGTATGCAGAGTGCGCGACTGTGCGAAGAACCAAGCTAGCAGGAGGGCATAGAGAGTGGACATGTGCGCAGAGCAGTGCATTTGTGCCTTTTGTAGATATGTTGGGATGATTCTGCAGCTTTGGCCGCATTGTCCAGCTCACGCGAGGTGTAGTGAGGAGACTTATTTTGCACCTCGCTGAAATGCAATTTGAAGGGAGCAGAAAACAGGAACAGATTGTAACTAAACGCGCAGTTGCAGTTGCGTATGCGCACAGTCAGATTCATACGGTGCCGTTGCCGTTCGGGACAGTATTGATGCCAGTGTGCTGATACGTGTACACTGGTACTTATTGAAATTCTTAGCAGAGTTCCAAGCGAATAGAGCTCTCTTAGAAGAACGAACGCAGCAACATAAGTGAAGATCGCCTTTGGAAGAACGTAGCCAGACGCTTCATAATGAAGGCTGCATCATGCCCTTGTTGGGAATTGATTAGGATCTGTGTATGTGCATCATTAGGCAGTGTTATATATTTGCAAACGGACATCATCAGGGGATGTCAGAGCCTAGTGTGGTAGGACTTATGTGACAGTTCACATTGTGAAGGAATCAGTTGGCGGTTTGCTGTGAGACTGACTCAATTCGTTATCCGAGCCGCGCGTTATTCACAGTCAATGGCTGATGACGTAGTTGAGATCCTTGGTCCAGTTTATCTGTGCATTTCTTGTTGGTTTCCCCGTTGGTGAAGCTTCATTAGTTGTCAGTGTTTGTTTAGCTGCTCTAGCACTGAGCAAGCTCTTTCCAGCGTTTTGCGGTCAGGGAAGAAAATGTAGCGGAAGGCAGCTTCCCGTGCTGTGTCCAGTAGAGGGTGAAGCTCTACTGGAGTTTATATTGTACTGGACGCAACACGGGGAGAATTTGAAGAGTAGGGCAATTGAAGATAACTGACCTCTGGCATCCATGAGGATGCCGACTAGCTGTTGGTCAACCAGCGATAGCTGGTGCTCAAGATCCTTTATTCTCTCCTTATTCGCAGTTAGTTCGTTTTGCTATCTCGCTTGCACTTCTTCGGCGTGGACTTTCGCTGCCGCATGCTTGGCAACGAGCAACTGTAGATGAAGCCGTTCTCGATGATAGTTGTCGATTTCTTTCTAAAGTTACTGTTTCTCGACATCATCCACAGAAGACGAGTCGGAATTTTTCCTCTTGCAGCGTTGCTCGTTTAGCTCCTCCTTCAATTCAGTGACCTGCTGACAGAAGGCCCTGAGCTCCTCCTCATGATTCTCTTGCTCCTCAGCAGAAGTATTTACGTGGGAAATTGAAGCCCAGAGCGGAAGGTATTTGGTCAGCGGAAAAACTGGGTAGAAATGGTGGCACCTGCGATGCACAGGAATGATTTAACTAGGAGATGCCGAGTTTCCGAGCAACAATTCCAATTGTGCATCAGTTTTTCGTTGCACTGCGAACTTTCTGTAGGGACCATGCTTCAGGTCAACAGAAGGGCAGAGTAACTAGAGATATAGGCTGGGGAAATGAAGACTAATTACACATATTGCTGTAACTCGCCAAGCTAGGAGTTGGCCGTGAGCAGTAGCTGTCTGATCTAGAGCATGCCGCTGACCGTCCGGAGCACGCGTAGATAGTGATACGCACGTACGGAAGCCAATGACGCCCCATAGGAGTTTGGCGCGCAGGAGGCACTGTGCGGGTACAAATGAAGAGCATCTAAGGACTTTGTCTTTTCCCTATAACTTCTGGCCGGACCTGCCACCGTAGCAGTGTGGTGCACATCCGCCTAATGAAAGAAGCACAGCACAACTTGTGAAGGATTGAGGAGCACGGTTTTCATGCAGCAGCTTGTACGGAAAGCTCAGAAAGCTGGAGGGACTCCGTTTGGCAGCCAATGAACTTCAAGCGGAGATAGCTGCAGGGCGCCTTCAGTAAAACTGAACAGCGTATTCATTGCTGGTGTTGGATAGTATATTGTTGAAGCTGCCACATCTGGAGACTGAGTTTAGCACGAAACTGATCAACAACGCGGCCTGGAGTCACCTGCGTTAGCAACACTCCGGTTTGGATGAAATTTCGATGTTTCTCTACTGAAGTGCTGCAACAAAATTTTGATGTTTCCTTCACTGCGGCTACTCTGCTTTATCACAGTGGCATTAGATGTTTTCCCGATAGGCCCTCTGTGTCGAACCGCGGTGAAAGAAACAGATTTTGTCCCTTTCGCAGCAGTTCGACACACAACACCTTTCAAGAAAGCACCAGATGCCGCAGTGATTACGCAAAGTGGCACCTACGCTATGAATAATATCATATTCCTAGACTGACGGAGACTCTTACGCAAGGATAAAGGTACTTTATCGATTTTCGCCACGCTCAAGTGTAGAGTGACTAGAATATGTAGCCGCCGTGGGGCTGCGTTGACTTTCTATGCAGGATAAGCCCAGGTCCACGAAACAATGGTACAACACTGTGAGCGATTGACTCGCGATGGTGTTCTAGCCAGCAGCCTTGCGCATTCGTTAACTTCATACCGCGCTCAATTTAATGGTGTAGAGACGCAGACTTCATGGAATCCTCGTCACATTTTTTGTTGCTGCAGCCGGGCTAACCTGTTTCCCTGATACCAGTAGACACCTCATGCACGGATGCTATGGGTCAGAGGTTTTCCGTGTTATTTCTTTAAAGGCTGTTTTACGCGTTGCAGGCCAGAAAAGCGTTAGCACAATGGACACTGATGATGTGCTTATCTTTTTGTCCTACTATTGTCTTCTCATTCCTGTTTGCCAGCTCCCTCTTTCTGTTAAGCTCGCCTTTTTCGTAAGGTTTCAACATGGCACATCGTAGCCTTTTCGATGTCTTTTCATAACGTTGACGTCTGCCGCTCATTACTTTCGACTTCACTGCAAAGTTGACGCAGGCAGCTGGTGGGTTCACTCTACGCCAACTACTACGTACAGAAACTAAACACGGGCCACAGTGGCTCTCTATTTAAGCTTTCCCATCATAGGAGTAAAAAACAACATTGAGCGTTCTGTCCGCTTTTGCGTATGGCACAGTGTGGCCTGTCGGTTCCACGCAGATAGATATGAACAGAGAGGCCTACTTACAAACGTTTTCCGTTTCACTTGCATTTTCATCTTCACGACGTCGTTCACATCCGCCTTTCCCCGTGCAGAAGATTCTTGCTGTGGCTCGGGCACTCTCATGTTTGATAACAGAAACTGTCTCTGCGGAAAACCTGTGACGTACTACTGGCATACTACTGACGAAGTTTTTCTGTAATCAAGAGGCCCTTGTCGGTGAGTTGAAATCTCGGCTTCCCACTATTCCTACCCATGAATTATGAAAACGACTCCTTTTGGGTCTGACAGGTGATCTGTATGTTCGGACTGAGCGTATTACAAATAGCAGCATATGTGGACCCGACGTCCCGTTACAACAGGACAAATAGACTTTCGTGTTTGCTCATCCTTATGCCAGCTCCACCTCTTGGAAAGGTAATGTAAAACAGGCTGCTCATGAGAATCTATGCAAGTCGGTGGTTTCTCGTGAAGTGCCAGACAAGCTCAAAATTTCAGAGCATTCTTGTATCAGGCGTTCTCTGATGGCGTGCGCAACGTTACCAAGGCCCTTAATTTTCAATGTGCTCAGAAAATAAGGGAGAATGCACTACAGAGTGCTGGATCCATGACGAGGTGCGCGTGACACAGCTCTGGGGGGAACAAAGCGTCTGTCCTGCTAAGTGCACACTCACATTTGGAAACGTTTGAAGCGCCATACGTCGTGGATTTTAAGCCCGGAGTATTCTATCGCGGCATAGACAAAATGCCACCGAATCTTGAGATGCATGCTCATCATCCTTCAAGCCCAGTGCCCCAGACGATGCGATCTATACGCATATGCGCCTGTGTCTTCTACAAATGGTGGCACCATTATGGCAGCTGCCACACAGAATGTTTGAGATAGGATATCAGTGGGCTACATGCTGAAAAGTGCCGCTGTGGAAGTTTTGTAGTGCTAAAGGAGACTCAGTCGTGCTTCAGGCAAACCCTCTATTGCGCGTGGCAAATACTGCGCGTGCTGTACGGGCCCTTCCTCCACAGCAGGGTTTTTCAAATGATATTCCAGATCAGATAAAATATTTACTGTTTTGCTGGCATTCCGCCGAGCTGATGGAAGCTGCTGTTGACCTTTAAGCTTGTGTGGCTTCGTGGTGTCTTTTATTGTTTCTTTATTGCAGTATTTGATGGCACCACCTGATGTAGCCATGTAACCTTATGAAGTTTTCACGACAAAGCGGTAGATGAGGAAGGTGCTTCGGGCTCAGCCCATTTAAAGCGCAATTATGCACACACATTTGCACGCAATAGATGGCGTGAAGG